CTTTGATTTATTAGGAAATGAACAGCCATGTTTTCCCCAGTGAGCAATTCTGTGTTGGTTATAGGAAGTCCAGTGAGTGGCTAATCTGCTCCACTGTGGTAATTTATTTAATCTTGCTGTGCTGTAGAGTGACATGTTTTTAATAGTTTAGATTAAATTTGGCAAAACTGAAGGCACACAACTTGAAGTGTGGTCTTCCAGATATTTACCTCTTTTACTTTCCTCAATTACAGAAACCTAGAATTTAAAATATGTTGGGACTTTTAAAGCTGAGCTTACATTTTTGTCAGGTTGCATGTTTCTAACTTTAATATTTTGCCACTTCATATTGCTGAGATACTAACAATCACAAGCTTTTATCAATCCAGATATTAACCTTATTGTTATGAGATGGCAACAGAGGCACAGTTTTGTTTCTGGGGAAGTGGCTTATCACACTGCCTTGGGATTAGAGGATGCAAACGTTTCTACCTCAAACCAATTTGCTGCTTTTCCCAAGCTACTAAAATTCACTTGATGCTTAGTTATCTAAAGTTAACACTTAATTTCTGTCATGCTCAGAAACAGCGCATTGTGTTCCTAACTTTTAAAATACACACGTGATTAGATGTGGACTTTTTAAAATTGACATCAGTGGACAATATGTTACAAAGATGGACGTCAACTGACCTTGCTTGTCTATTCAAAAACTGACTCACTTAAAAAAGGCGTCTTAGACATAAAGGTGTCAACTACATACATCCTGAAACCATCAAAGGACATTTCTGAATTGTATGAGTCTTTTTTTTTTTGGAAAAATAGGCGTAACATCTTAGAGTTAATCCAGGATGTGGCTAATCAACCCAAGCCCACCACTGTAATTGGAAAAGAAAGTGCAGTTGTACAGAGTACATGGTATGGTAGCCGTGTTTGCCTATTCATAATCTTTAAATGGTGACTGCAAAATGTAAAATAGCAACAAACGGAAGGCAATAATAGCTATGCCTTAAGAATTGGCAGCTGTAACCTAGTGAGGTCTCCAGCGCCTGTTCCTTTTTGGATCCAAAAGTGCAGCAAACTGACTATCTAATAACTGTAAGCAACTAACTTCACAACCTGCAGAATATCCATCTCTTTGTGAGAATACTGAAATGAATTTGGCATATGACTTGGCTGTTGAATTCACCATCATCATCTTCAGGACTGCATTGGCTGTTTTCCAGAACAAAACAATCCTAGTAATAATGAAGTGGAGAAGAAGGGTTTCTGAAGAAGGGTCTAGGCCCGAAATGTCAGCCTTCCTGCTCCTCTGATGCTGCTTGGCCTGCTGTGTTCATCCAGCTCTACACCTTGTTATCCTAGTAATAACGAAGTCTTCTTTTTGCGTATAACCTGCAAAAGTGTCCTAGTCTCTTCAAATGTCTGTGTTTGTCTGACGGTGGCTATGTGAGTGAGTGCAATATTGTTAAATTAAAGAGTAAGTGCATAAATAAACAATCATCTCTCTTTATTTAAACTCATGAAAGGCTTGTTTCTGGCTGTTCAGAATGTCCACATACTTCGGGGTTAAAAACCACACATACTTACCTCTTAAAAAGCTGACTGATTGCAGGCAATTGGGAAAGGAGCAAAGGTTTCTGCAGTTATGTCTCACCCTATCATAACATTTCATACATGGAACTGGATGTTTGCTTAGACATTCAACTGACAAGCATTTTTTTGGAAAGGCTGAATTGAAAAAGGGGAATGAAATCACTGCAGATGATCTGATTCTGCCTGTACTTTTATTGTATCCTGCAATAATCTTGAGACCTTTTAATATCAAACAAACCTTAGGATGTAATTGCACTGATTCCTTCAAAAGTATATTTCTCTACAAATAAAGTTCTTAAGTTTGACCATTTTCTCTCCAATTAGCATAACTAAGAGAACTGGCAGTGAAATGGCTATCGAGAACACACAAGATTAACAAAACCTCCTCATTCATCTTTCTGATTATTCTGTTAACACTGAGCTTTGACATTGTAGTTAGCAGTTATTGTTCTTGCATTATTTCTCTTTACCATTCCAGTTTCTGATAGAGTTAGAGGTAACCACTCATACAAATGACTGTTCATACCTTTTTGCTGTCACTTTCTTTGACAGATGAGATAATGGTGGTAGATCATTTATTTGCTTTGGCAGACATTTGTTGCTCGTTATCATTACGAGAATAAGCAAGGCTTGAGTGGGTCATTGACATCTTTGAATATCTTGATTGCATACAAGTCAAGATTAAGGTTTGGAGGTTCATGTTGTTGTTAAGGTAAATCCATGATTTTGCAACAAGCCACACCCAATAGCTGCAAATTAGGAATTCTTTTCAATTTCCAACAGGTTTGATTTAAAAGGTACGTTGTAATGGGATAAATTTACATTGGGCTGCAGATAAGCTGGACATAAGGCACTTTTGAAATTGATAAATGATGCAGAAAGGAAGAGTTCAAATTTTAGGTCAGTTTTGTGGCAGGGATGAATGGGGTCTAACTCCTTGATGAGAGGTTAACTGGAACTGTGAAAAGAGTGAGAAAGGGGCTGGGGGAAAGTTAAAGCTAAAAAAACAAAAGTGAGAACAAAGGAACAGGAGTATGCCATTCAGCCTGTTGAGTCCTGTTGTCCCATTTAATACAATTGTGGCTAACCAAACACTTCAGTGCCTTTTTCCCCCCACACCATCTCCATAATCCTTTGCCAATTGATAATCAAAAATCTGTCAACCTCTACTTTAAATATACTCAAACACTGAGCTTCCGCAGCATTCTCTTTAGCAATATCTACATTTTAAGCAACATTGTGTGGTATTCTTTTATTAATAGTTGTGCCAGATTTTAATTTACCTTATATTAACAGAAATATGCCATTTGTGTCTATTTTGCATCTGTACACAAGGTGAAAACTGCAAGAATTTTCAAATTTTTTGGCATCTATTAGCCACAAATCAGATGAATGGAATCTAACACTGGAATGTGCTTATTTAAAAATTGATCAGTAGCTAACTGAATGGATTTATCAGCTTTTAAAAACTGAAAGACCTCAGTTTAACGCAAGCCCAATATTTACTATGCTCCAATACAAATGATCATTGCAATCTGAGTGTTATAACATTTTGTCTGCTGTTACAATGTATCAGCTTTGAATATTCAGGCATTCAAATGCCATGTTGCACTTTAGTCATCAACCTTCTCAGTTAAATTAGAGTAACTTGGACCATTTTAGCTGGTTTGTTTGTTTGGTTTATGTGAGACCATTTTTACTTCATTTTATATTCTTTCATTCTAATGATTTTCATACAATTCTTTTATTAGATTTAGGGGAGAGAGAGAGAAAAAAACAGCGGGCGATCAGGGGGGTGGGGGGACAGTGGAGGATCCGGGCAACAAAAGGGGCAGCACGGTGGCTCAATGGTTAGCACTGCTGTCTTACAGCGCCAGGGACCTGGGTTCGATTCCACCCTCAGGCGACTGTCTGTGTGGAGTTTGCACATTCTCCCCCGTGTCTGCGCGGCTTTCCACCAGGTGCTTTGATTTCCTCCCAAGTCCAGAGATGTGCGAGTTAGTTGTATTGGCCATGCTAAAATTTCCCATTGTGTCTCGGGGCGTGTAGGTTAGGTGGATTAGCCGTAGGAAATATAGGATTACAGGGAAAGGATAGGGGGATGGGTCTGGGTGGGATGCTCTTCAGAGGGATGTGGTGGACTTGTTTGGGCTGAATGGCCTGTTTTCACACTGTAGGGATTCTGTGATTCTATGAGATTAGTACATAATTCACATCCTTTTTAAATTAACATTGTTGAGATGACGACCATGGGTTTTTGTACCAATAGTTTGGCTGCTCAGAGTTATAGGATTCCATTTTTAAAATGGTACTAACCAATTTTGGTTAATCTGTTTGTAGCTTTATTGGAGTAAATATTAGAAATCATTGTACCTAGCCACTGTAGACTATTTGACATAAGTTTAAAATGGTTTCAGCATTTTCTATTCTTGTTGCAGCTTTGTGGAATGCATTTCATCTTGGAGCTAAAAAAAAAGCTAAATATCTGCTTTACTGATAAATTAGACCATGTGTCCAGTAATTAACCACTAAGACATTAATGGAGTATTAGCCAATTTAGCATCTGCAGTGGTGAAAATGAATTGAAAACATACATTTTGATCACTGGACGTTGTGAATTGCACTTCTAAGAGCATGTAGAGGGGCAAAATTGATTGAAAATAAAACTCAAATAATTAAAATCCTAGTCTGCATCTCTAAATATGCACACCATACAGCTTTGTCTTGTTTATTTTTGATATAACTTTTGAGAAACATTGTATTTAAAGGAGAAGGGGATAAAATATTTTCAAAGTAGCAATATCCTTTTTCCTGTTCACACTTTGATAGTTCCTGGCAACCCCGCTGAAGCCACCGTCCAGGGAGAAGACTAGACATTCTGAAATAGTACCCCGAAAGAAAATTAGTGTGTCTTTGGATTAGTGTGGCAGTCAGTTGATCATAAGATAACGTGCATTAAAATGATTTTCTAAACCGAAGCAAAGTTCTTACACCCACTTAAAAGTTAAAAATTCAGTCACCTTGAATTATCGAGCCATATCTTCAGTTGGTTGGAGTATTTCAAAAGTCCTGGGTCTTAGCTGAGGAAGCAGTGTCGTGCAAAGGAGAGATATAGAAATATCAGAGTTAGTGCACCTGTCTTAGAAAATGTGTCTACATTAGAGACTATTTTTGTGAATTCCGAAAAATATTTCCAATAGAATTTCTCAAGAGTTGGAGAGTAGTTTGAAATCTCATCACGTTCATGATTCTGGAAATAAAAATGTGAAAACATGAAATAGTGCTTTAAAATCTACTGTGATTATGAACAGTTGCATGGGCAATAGTAATAATTACCTTTTCCACATCACCCGTTAAAAAAAGGTGAATATGAGAATGATAATAGCTGACCTTTCCTTGTATTTAGCTAACTATTTCTTCTTTTTCAGGGGGCTAAAAAACTCTGTCCACAGTGCAACACCATCACATCCCCTGGAGATCTCAGACGTGTTTATTTGTGAAGGAGTGGGATATAGAAAGAAAAGGCCGTGGTGATCCTGAGGCCAAGTTAATTACAATGCCTCACAACAGAAAGAGGACCATAAACAATTGTGGGGTGGCACCAAAAAATGTACAAATATTCCATTTTTGATTTTCTCTTAAGTGTGTGGAAGGAGAGAAGCAGCCCATCCAAGAGGAGAACTTGATAATGCTGTTTGTTGTGTTAATAATAAAGGAACCCCTATCCCCCATCCGAGTTTTATCAGATGATTGACGCCCAGAACACATATACACACACCTCCATAAACCTGTTGACTGGAGCTGCGTTTACCAGAAGACATTCTGGGCTGTGCATTGTGAATGGACCTGTACTGTGTTCTATTGTGGTGTTATAGTGACAAAAAAAAGATGAAGCACATGTAATATAAATTATGTATGTTTACACCATTGATTGTGTATAAATGGAATAGACTTATGAACAGTGCATACTAATAAGTCCTTAATCATTTTGAGAGAAAGAAGTAAGATGCATTAAGTCTGCAGTATTTTTTACCCAGGCTACCTAAGATTTAAATGTTTTGGGCAGTTGGTTAAAAAATAATCTGGTTTAATGAATAATTTGTGATGTATATTTCTCATTCAGATAAAAGGGACAGCTTTTACAGTAATGGCTGTAATAATGCCCATAACTTAAGTACTAAAGGATGTAGACAAGTTGGCTTGTCTTAGTTGTAACAAATGGGCTACTTGTACTAGAAGCCTGACCCATTTAAAATATCAGGCTGCGCAGCACCAGACCCCTGAGGGAGAATCAGGTTGACCCCTATATAGAAACTATGGCCCAATCCCTAAGTGAAGCTGCGTTAGTTCTTGTGGACCAGCGTTGTGCTGTGTGTCTCGGTTGTACCAGAATATGTAACCAGTTATAATGTTTGTTATTCATGTGAAAAGTCCTGGAATATACTGAAGAACTTGAAAGTAGATTTTTGAACAGAATGCAGATATTCTGTGATTAACAGTTGCCTATAACAATGGCAGCCCTGCCCTCTATCAAAAATAATAACTTAATTGGCTTCATCTCCTGTTCCTGAAAATCTTTTGAATGTTGCCAGTTGTTATAGTTTGTATAGCCCATCATTATAAGTCTCACAATTTTAGTGTTGTCTTGTTATTAAGGTAGTTGGACCTTGGTTCCTGGTTCTCTTTCATATTACATTTATGCTACATTCTGGGACAGTCACTGAAATGTGCAACTCGCTATAGCGTGTAAAATGCTTGGCTCCCAAGAAACGGATTATGAAGGGAGTAGAAAAATTAAAATTTGACTATGTTCTTTACAAAACATGTTGGCCATGACACAGGCACAGGCCTTAAAAGAAATAAGAATGATATGAATTTACTGTAGTAATTGACCATTGATGTAAAAAGAATCTCTTGGCCAAAGCAGGCTACATGGTGACCTTTAACATAACCCTTTTGATGTTGGTTGGACATAGTTGCAATTCCTCACACTTTTATTTCCTTTTTTTTTCCCCACTCTTTAATAGCCAGTTGCTGTTTTGATGTTTCCAATCATCTCTTGAGCACTGTATTTTTAAAAACAAATGTTGCCACAGTTCATGTAATATGGCTTTAATGGACAAAGCTTGAAATATCCATTAACACACTGGCATTTGCTAATAAAAGTTCAAAGTCCTTCCAGAATAAACTGTGGTTGTCTGTGCTAGTACAGAACCAAATGATTTCATTGTAAGGCATCTCTCAATTTACTCTTTGCATGTTGCTTATTATTAGGCTATTGCTTTTGAAAATAGATTCATGTGGCTTATTATCTTGCACAATTATAGCAGTGTAAATGGGTATTGGATTAATAATCAGATGGAAGAACTAACAGCAGTGTCAGGCAAAGAAAGCCAAAATATGGCAAAACAATTGAAAACATATCCTTTGTTGATCTGGCTATTCCATTGCGCAGATTCACAGCAGTCTTCTATATTTGAGTGGTGGTTTGGATCAATCAATGAGAAACTCACTTTGTTCTGCTTAAAAATGTTTTCATGTGATGTGGGTGTCACTGCCTAGGCAAAAATTTGTTACAGGTCTCTAATTGTCCTGATGGAAGTGGTGGTGATCTGCTTTCTTGAACCACTGCAGCCCTGTGGTGTAGCTATACCTACAATACTGTTCGGAAGTGAGTTCTAAGATCTTGAATCAGTGACAATGAAAGAGCAAGTCAAGATAGCGTATGTTTTGGAGGGGAACATGTAAGTGGTGGTGTTCACATGCATGTACTTGCTTTGTCAGTGTTTGAGATATCGGTTTTTTGAACAAGCTAGTGAAAGAGGCATGGGGGAGTTGCTGCAGTGCATTTTATAAATGGTACATATTGCTTCCACTATGTGTCAGTGGCAAAGGAAGTGAATGTTTAAGACAGTGGATAGGGTGCCATTCAAACAATGGATGGCATCTAACTTTTTCAGTAATTTTGGAGGGGCACTCATCTCCAGGCACTATTCTATTACACGCCTGACTTGTGCCTTATAGATGATGCTCAGGCTTTGGGAGCCAGGAGGTGATTTACTTGTCACAGAGTTCCCAACCTCTGACACTGTTTATACAACTAATCCAGCAATGCCATTGAACATTATGATTAGATTCTAGGTTGTTACCTAGCAATTCTGTGGTGTGAATGATACTTGCCATTTATTAGACCAAATCTGAATTTTGTTTGAGTCTTCCTGCAAGCTGGAATGGAATGTTTCAGTGCTGAAGGGCCCTAAATGGTGCTGAACATTGTGAAATCAGCAACAAACATGCCCACTTCTGAGCTTTTGATGGAGAGCAGGTTGAATGGAAGATACTTCTCGGTCTCCTGAAGTCCCCAGCATCAAAGAAGCCGTTCTTCAGTCAATTTTATTAACTACTTGTGATATCAAAAAAGTAGCTGAAGGTACTGGATATCCCAAGGGCTATGAGCTCTGATGACACTCTGACAATAGTACTGAAGACCTATTCTTAAAAACTAGCAGCTCCCCTATCCAAACTATTTCAGAACAGCTACGCTACTTCCAAATATGTGACAATGTAGAAAATTGCCAATGTATTGTCTGTTCACAAAAAGCAGGACAAATCCAACCTAGCCAGTTATCATCATACTAGTCTCCATTCAATTTTCAGTGAAGTGATAGAAAGTATTATCAATTGTTCTGTCATGCAGCAGTTCCACAGCAATGACCTACTCACTGACACTTGGGGGTCCGTGACACTGGCAAAACTCAAACCAAGTGTTTTATCATTACAGCCTTAGGTTATTCATGGACGAAATAGCTGAACCCAAGGGGAGGTGAAGGTGACTTCACTTGGCATCAAGGCAGCATTTGACTCAAGCGTGATGTGAAGGAGCCTTATAAATTGAAGACAATAGGAACTGGGGGAAAGTTCTCCATTGTTTGGAGCCATGGATAGTCAAGTACACTACTCCCAATTTTGTTAAGAATGTAGTATCGAATCCTGTCTTGATAAGTTGATCATATTGTGGTACCAATTTACAAATTTCAAGACTATCCACCTAACCCAGAGCAAGTATCAAGGCGAGTGGTCTCAAATTCTGGAAGAAAGAAAAAAATACAAACTTTGCTGTTAATCTTAACGCCCTTTTGTGAAACTTGGGTCATGTAATGAGCTAAACAGTTAGTATTAGATCTCCTGATATTGAGCCACTTGAGGTAAAACTTTAATAGATAGTTTTCTCGTGTAGAAGTGTACTGTAGGGGCAGTACTGAACAAAGGGCAGTGATTTTCATTTGAATGAACCGTTTTTTTTTGTAAGTTGGACTCCCTAATGGCAATGCTAACTCAGCAGCACCAACAAATATGTACCAGATATTAAATAATCACTTTCATGCACTTTGGTTCCTGGCACATGTTTGGACTTTCAGCTTAAGCATTTTGCTATTTTGCCAAAATCGGAATAGTTCCTTATAATTTTCTTTTATGAAGTATTAGGAATTAAGGCATTTACTTTACACTAAAATCATGACAAGAGTTGTTATGTTTAATTCTCAGTTGAGTTTCATTTGTGGAAAGTCTAGCTATTTTATGGTTCTCTTTGTCTGTGAAGGGCAGATTAAGTAAAAATTGCGGCTGAATGCTTGACTTTTTTCCATCTTTTCATCCTATGTAATTTGTTTATAATGATCTATGAAAAGATAAGTGAAAGTAACTGGTAATTGTAAATCATTCTACAATTGCCCCATCCCTGCAATGAATAAACTAATTCATTCTTTTCAGTGTATATTCTTGCAACCCAGTTGAGATCAATAACTAACATATGGGGAAATTCAAGCCACTCAAGTCTAGTTGCTGCATTCACTCCCTTTTTAAAAAAACTTTCTCATGTAATTGTAACAAATGTATCATGTCTTGGTATTTTTCAATTGGTTGAGAGCAGATAACATTTGACACCTGATATGGCCAGCTTGAAATTTATGTGGCTTTCTAGTTTCAGAATAAATATTGTGAGCATTTGTGAGGCAACTTGATCATCTAATGTTCAGTGCATGGAAGATGTTTCTTTGTATTCAATCCTCAGACGTATCTATAGCCTTTTTGATTTTTTTAATAGACAAGTGGGTATAAGTTGGATAATAGTTATATGTGAGAAGATGCACTCACAAAATGTAGATAATTTTGTTTTCCCTTAATGCTGTTTCTACATCATTTTCATTCTCTGTTTTAACTTAGCAAGTGTTTCCGTCTATCTTTTGTAAATGTACTTCTGATTTACATTATGTATGGTGACACTGCTCAGAAAACCCCACTGAATCCTGTGCTGCTTAGGTAGAGAGATTTTCATTTTTTTTAGACGTCAATATAAAACATCCACTTCAAACTTGAATGTAAACACACAACTGGAGGCTGTTGTATACCCAGCATCTTTTCTAGCCAGATGGGATGTGCTGGTGGTGTTTGTAGTATACCTCTCATAATCCTTTTCACTGGTGGTCACAATCAGTATTCGAGAGATTTGATTCAAATGAGCAAAGAAGAGGGATTTGTTGGAATTACTTCCTCATTAGCATCATATTTCCAAAGAACTGCTTAACTTCTCTATAATGCTCTATTCACTGTCAGATTTGTAATCAACCAACTGAAGCAAGTGATTTTAAGAGGCTGGCACCCTTTGGAGTTAACGTGATAAACCTGGTTGAGAGTTAAGTGCTCGATTGCTCAGTGTATTGACCTACCTTGATTTCAGCTGTCAGCTGTTTCTTCACTTCCGCACTCCAATCTCATTAACCCCTCCCAAAAAGAAAAGATCTCCTCGTTCAAACAGTAATGCTTTTTTAACGGGTTGTTTACAACTCGCTTGGACAAAGTGAAATAAGTTCATTCCTTATATCCCTCATGTGCCAGTTGCACAATAGCAAGTCTTTGAATCAAAATCCCAGCCTGTGCAGATGGAGAATGAAAACAAATTGATGCCACCACCCAGGGAGTCTTTGTTGCCTGGATGCACATGATGTTTATCAAAGGCAGATTAATGTGGAGCTGTGTTTCATACTGCTCATCCATGCAGTTCCTCTAAGAGTGAAACTGAAGCTGGTGAAGTTGGTGTGTGAAACACAGAACATTTAACTTCAAAGTTGTATTCTGTGAATTTTCTAATAAAAACAGAAAATACTGGAAATAATAGGTCAGGCAACATCTGTGGAGAGAGAAATGCTAACCTTTCAGGTGAATGAGCATTAGTTAGAAGTGGAATATGTTAGAAATCTTACAGGTTGTAAGCAAGAACAGGAGAGGGAAGACAAAAGGGGAAGTCTGTCATAACGCGGAAGGCAGGAGAGATTAAATGACAAAAAGGATGATGGTAAAAAGCAAATATGAAGGGGAAGAGTAAAGAAAAGATCAGTCTATAGGAGGTATAAATGAAAAAAGCAGAATCATCAGAGTTGTCCAAAAATAAGGGCAATTGTTATGATACTATATCTGCTGTCCACAATGTCATTGCATTGGGAAGACCAGGCACAAATAGAGTGGTCACTTTGCAGAACACCTCTGTTAGTCCACAAGTATGGCTCAGAGCTTCAGGTCTTCTGTCATTTTAATTATTTGTTACATTCCCATTCGGGCCTCTTGGTTTAAGCCTACTCTTGATCCGTGGACCCCTATACGGTTTCATAGCTCGAGGAACAGCAACTCAGCCTTCAGCTATGCACATTACAGACTTTCATAGCATTGAATTCATCAATTTCAGATCATAGCTATTATCCCAATTTTTAGTTTTCATTCTATTCCCATGTACACCTCTCCTAGACTCTTTTGTCTCTTGTCCCATTGTCATCTTTTGTGTTGCACCATCAACTCTTAGCCATTTAATCTCTTCCACCTTCTATGCATATCAAACGTACCTTTTGTGTTTTCCCTGCTTTTTTTAATCTCTGTGCTTAGTTAAATTACATCTTGAACTTCTTCAGAAATATTTGTTTGCCAACATCTACAATATTTTGTCTTTATTATGAGACCTGAATTTCAGAATGAAAGTTACTTGCAATAAAAAGAAATCAGAGTTCATTACAAATGAATTTTAATCAGATTCTATATCCATCTCTGTTTGAATTTACTATTTTATTGGATATAAGGATTGTAGGTTATTTATGATTTTTTTCTGTCCTCTTAAATCTCTGAAAACCCATATCCCCTATT